TTGGTTCGTTATGTTACTGTCGTTGTTTACCCTTGATTTCCACTGGGAGTATGTTATTGGCAATTTCTTATCTTTATTAGAAATGTTGCTACTACTTCTTAACAGACGTCTAGAGACCTCATCGTCACCACCGCCATGTCCTCCGCCATCTCCTCCGGCCACCCCAATGCCAGTGGGCAGGTGGTTTCGTCCATTTTGCAGGGCAATCATTTGGGCAGCGATGGCGGCGTCCGTATGATCACCACTTCCGCCTCCATTGAGGTGCTCCAGCGCCGTGGATTGACGGTAGCCGGGTTGCCAGGCCAGTGCCGCATGCTCGGCAGATGTGGCGCCTCCCAGACGCAGGCTGCTTCTGCCCTCATCGCCGGCCAAATCGACCGCCGAATGGTAGATGGTGTTCCGCGACTGGGAGATCGATTTGCGGTGCGCCGCCGCAGCAGCCGCCGCCTCCGATTCCGCCAGCGATATGGTATCGAAGTACAGGCTCTCCCGCTCGTCCATTTCCGATTCGGGATACTCGTAGTCGTGGGTGCGGACTGCAACGAAGGGTGAGATTAGTCGGAAGTTCTGGCACAAGTACTTGAGATGAGATCAGATCAGATCGGATCGGTTCGGATCAGATGAGATGAGAGGTGAGGCGGTGGTGCTGATGAGTTGTTAGTGGTTACGTTTCCATTACAATAAAGAGTGCATGATTGTGGTGAGAAGAAATGCTATACCAAGTATACCATGAAAATTAAAAATGACAACACATAGGAATTTACCAATAGAAATGGGTAATATATTGGGTAATCTCTCTAGGATTCAATGGAAAATGGATCTACTTTCTATTCTTTTTCTTTTAGCTCTTAAGTAGAACTAAAACTAATATAGCATATCATACTTATCATATTATCATATATTTTTTTTATCGAATCGCCTCGAACTTAAAAAAGAAGACGATCAAGTTATAAATTGTTTGACCTAATTCTCTTTATACAGAATTTCCAATTAGGTGACATCACATAACAACAACGCCCATGAATAATGTGATCATTGGTACCCAAAGACATAAAAATGAAATGTTAAAATAAAATGATATGACCCTACTTACAGAAATCAAATATTCGGGACTGACATATTTTTTTAATATAATATTTTCTATATTTTTTAACTTTAAATGTTTAACAAGCATAGAAATTTTAAAAATGAAACAGGTGTATCAAAAAAAGTTACTAATCAACTATGGACAACAAATGAAAGTTATGATTACCATCCACATTTGATATATTAAGAAAGTAAAGGGAACATAAACAGATCCCTAAGTAAAAAAGGTTAAAAGTACCCATGAAATTCCAATGAAAACAAAGATAATCTTCCAAAAATAAAAAGTTAGAAACATTAACTTAGGATTGAGTTTTAAATAGCAACATAAATAGTTCCCTAGGTAACAAAAAATGCAAATCACCCATGAAAAGCGAATAAAAGCCTATGCTCATCTTCCAAATATAATACCTATAGCTTGAAACAATGACCATTGATTGAGATTAGGGCCGGAACTCGTTTCGAAATATCAGTTCAGCCAATATTAATTACTGATAAGCCTGGAAATCCCGATAGTGAGTCTGTGGCCATGATAGTGGGGATGATGGCATTTGATGGCCCACCGGGCAGGGCCAATTTGGAAGCCAACTTATCGGAGGCGAGCTGACGCTGATACCAGCCACACCGTTTGACTCATTTAAATGCGGTCAATTACATAAGTGCCCCATAAGTGCGATACACCCGTGGAAAAATGCGTGTGAATGTATGAATGAATAAAATGAATGAATGCGGTGGCAAGTACTAATGGTGATGATCAGTTTCCGGCGCAGGAAACCACCAACCCAAACTACAAACGGCACAAACTAAACAAACTCAAGCTTGAATCAAAACTAAACAATGCAAAATGGTTCAAAAAACCATACGATACACAGAACTTGTACTGGAATGGATAGAACGAATATAAAATGAAACAAGTTCGAATATATGTATGCATGTTTGTCTGTATGGCATGTACATAATAAGACTGAAACAAACAAATTTGCATGACAACGGGTGCGATGTTTACTCATTAAAGTATTTACCCGCCGAATACATGATTGGTGGCAGGGGGAAGAGCTAGGTGAATGTCTTGACGGCAGTTTTTGGAAGTCGATCGATCGCAGATCCCTCAGGCGCTGTGGTGCCAGCGATCCTGGCGATCCCGCTGATCCTGCTGATCCCTCTTATGATCCCTCGTTTCGAGTCCTGGATTTTTCGGCACTTTCTCGGCGGCTGCGCAACGGCACCGACTTCCATGCATCACGATTTTCGGACTGCCGGCAGCGAAAAAACAGCGATTGATGCAGGATAAAGCTCGTGGCTCATACAAAAAAATTTTCATAAATTAAAAAAAAAAAGGAGATACTGCAACTAAAACCCGCGCACACACAGAGATCCACCAGCGAATGATGTCAGAGGGAAAAATAAAATAATAAAAATGTAGAGCCAGAGAGGCGAAATATGCGTACGCTCGCGTCGTTTGGCGATTACTGAAAACAGAGTACGAAAAGAATAGTAGAGGCTGAAATACACATATTTGGTTCGGGTTTGCCAGGCAGCTAACCAACCTCAGAAATCGCCGACAGCCACAATAAATGATTGCCCAAATAGGCGTGCAGCGAGAACAGTGGCCACAAATCGGGGAAAAATAATGTATACACCTGCAGCAATATTTTTTTGTTACACAGAACCCCGGAAAAAAGAGGTATAACTAACTCTAATATAGAGAATTTTAAGTTATTATTATGATTTAGCAAAAGTGCATTGCAGAAGTTCCGAATTTTACGAACTACTGAGTTGAAGGTACCAAGTTCAAACTTATTCAAAAAATTGTAAGTCAAGTTTTCAAAATATCTTGAAATTCCTTGAAAACTTGAAATAATTAAAATACTACAAGTTGGAAAAGTTTCTTAACTTTTGAAACTAGAAATTAATCTTTTTTACATTTAAAATAATAATATTATATCTGAACCATTAATAAAAATTAAAAACTTACAACTGGTACCCATTTTATAATTTTATAATATCATGACAGCTTTAAAAGATTTATAAAAAAAGTTAAAAAACCATTATTATTATTATTATACCATTCAGTTTAAGAATAACTAATGCCACTGTAACCATATTAATATTTATACTGAAAAACGCACCCATTCACATCGAGTATTTGGCGAACGAACAACTTTTTTCCTCATCTTACAAAAAAGTAAATCTAAACAGTCGATTGTGGTTTAGATTCGGATTCGTGTATATGTAATTCAATGATCGGGCTACTATACGTTGATATAAACAGCACTTAATGCACTGCGATCGGGTAGTTTTCCTTAATTTCCCTGAATTTTACGGCAAGTTTATTTATCGCACCATTTTAATAGGTAGTGCTTATTTTAACGATAATGTGTAGAGAGGTATTCAGAAAATTTTCAAAATTAGGAAAACGTAAAAATTCCAAAATTCTGAACCGGACTAAAAAAAATTGTTTAAAAATGCTAATTTTGCAAATAGTCATTGGCTGCTTATAAAAAAGAGGAGTACCATTTATGATTGGTGTCAACTAACTTGACCCTTCTGAATATTATTCATAAATATGGTGTATACTTCAGGCTTAAATCTATTATAAAGATTTTAAGGACCAGAAAAGAACTTTTGGGATATGTAAGGACTGGAACTAGAAAATGTCCAGGATCATATAAGATCATTATTATAGTGAAATATTCCATTTACCTAATGACCAGTTCTTAGGTATCACTAGGTCATATTGTTTTGGCCATTAATGCATCATTTCCTTGGGAAAGTGCTCCAACGAATGCCGAAACACGATAGACACTAGCCAGAATCATTAACCTTGACGGAACCACCGAAATCCCTGGGTGCACACGAATAATTCAGCGGGGGAGAAGGTTGGGTTGGGCTAACATGTTGGCGGCAAAGGTAAAGGTCAAGTTGCTCCGTAGATTGTTGACAAATCAAAGTGCGAAAAGAGTTCTCGCATTCGTATATCTATATGAGAATATAAGAACGAAACCTGTTTGGCATATGTATAATGGAAATGGGATCCATAAAAAGGTGCGGGGGGAACTAGTCCAAGACACGCGAATCGCTTGGAAATGAAGAAATTCGCCGGAGAAAGCTCTGTTCCCGAAATTCCGGATAATGATGTTGCCTACGACGACGACGACGATGATGATGATGATAATGATAATGGTGATAATGCTGATGATGCACTACACCTTCGGTTCTGTCTATGTGGACATTTCTATTTTTAGCAAACTGCAGTGGCCGAAAATAGGCGGAATGTCTGTTGGTGGAATATTGGACATTATAGCCTATAGAATAGCGAGATATTGGTTAGGAACAAGGCGTTAGTATAGCTGGCGATACCAATTCATTTGGGTTTCCTTTTTTTTGAACTCACCTGGTTTGTTGTCGTTGACTTTAGTTAGTGTTCACCGTGGTTGACGGCCAAGGCCATTTCCTGTGCCTCCTGACTGCTGTCCTGCTTCCCGCGCACTTCCCACTTTTCGCACAGCCGACAAACAAACAATTAAACTCGAAAGGGAAGCGGAAGCCGCCAGCAACACTTGCTTTTAATTTAATTTAGTTTAGTTTACGCCACAAGCGAAACGGAACGAGGCCAGCGTTGCCAGACGCACTGCATTATCCAATCAGCTGTTGAATGATTTAATCGTTGCCGCTCGTTAATCGATAGGTTATCGATAATGTAACAGATAGATTCCACTGCAAGATGTAAAAGTTAAGATATAACCCGTAAACATTTTTGTTTTGCATATAAATACAAAACGTTACAAAATGAAGTAAAATGGTTAAAACTCAAGTAAGTTAGCCCTTGAAATACAATTTTGTTTTAATAAATAAATCATTAATAAATCGTTTCCAAAGCAGTGACTTGTGACTTTTCAATATCAGCGACTCCAGCTCAGTTTGTCCACCACTAGTAATGTTTTGATACGACTTGACGTGAACATCTGGAATTATTTTGTAAAGTGCAATAAATTGAGGGTGGCTGGAGAACCCTGGATGAAAGAGGGGCGCCATGGTGTACATCGACCATAGTGAGTACAAATAGACTATAAAGCATCCAAAAAATAATAATAATCTGTTTGTTTTGCCTCTACAGATGGGCGCGTGTGGGAGAAACGACCTTGGGACTGGAGAAGAATAGTGGAGCTACTTGTGGGGATATGGTTTGCCATCAAGCAGCTGTAAGTGTTTACAAAGTAGGTCCTAGTATTGAAAAGCGGTTAATAGAGCACTTTTTCCTGCAGATTCCTGTCTTTTCTGGCCCCCTTCATGGGCACCGATAACCAGGCCAATTCACGTCGTGGAAATGGATGGGGCGGTGGTGGAGGAGGCGGAGGAGGATGGGGTGGTGGCGGAGGCGGTGGAGGAGGAGGTGGCGGAGGAAGACCTGGATCAGGAGGACTAAGACCAAACCGCCGGATTGGACGCATCCAGCCCTCAATGAGCTGCAATATGCCCGCGGGAGGCGGATGAGGATAGTAGCGACATCCGGTTCCCAAAACTCTTGGGAGGATGTCGCGCCGACAAGAGGTTGGCCACGCCAAGCAGCACCACAAAATGGCCCGGAAATCGAGGTTTATCTCGCCCCAGTGGCGCCTATGACGCAGTTCTCCCAAACTCGGACTCGAGCGGAGTGCTGCTGAACACGATTAATCACTGATTTCTGGGTCGCTGCTTACGTGGCCATCGTCGGTCCCATGAGCTTATAAACAAGCTCCAGTTTAGCTAAAGGTTTTTAAATCGGTCTACGGGTTTATGTGTAGCAGCATAAAGAAACATTTGTATATTTTAATCCTGTCGAAATGTTCAAATAAAAACCAAGAATAACTTTTTCAAACACTGTTTTTCAATGATGTCTTTATGTTCAAAAATGATATCCAAATCTTTTACAGAATTTTTAGAGAATTTTCAAACCAAAACCTATAAGTTATGGATAACTTTTCTTTTGTAACTATAAAGCCACTGACCATTTAAATACAAAGTACTATTCTTTTTAAAATTTTGTTTCTCCATTAAAAAAAAAATAGTTAGTTGTTCTACTGTATTATAAAGACTTTTAGAACTTATATATTATATGTATAAAATAGCTCAAATTTGTAACATTTTATTTAAAATTAAACTTAGAAAATAAAAAACTGTGACTTTCGGATGACATCAGTGTAGGCTAGTCGATATATTTCGTTTGCAGTGAATCAGCTGTTTGGTTTGTCCATCTCTAAAAACCACGTCAAGTGTGTAGTTTTGTATACAAATCTTAAAAATTCAGGTTTGACCCCGGATAGGAAATATTCCAGAAAAACCGAGAAGATCTTGCACGCTGATTGAGCTGCAACATGGCGTACATTGATCAAAGTAAGTGGCTGTGGATGAGCAAGTGGAGTCCAGCGAGCTAATCCCTTTGTTTTGCAGATGGTCGCCTCTGGGAGAAACGTCCTTGGGACTTGAGACGTGTTTTGGCCCTATTCGTGGGCATCTGGTTCGCCATCAAGCAGTTGTAAGTGGTCTATGGATTACTAATGTTTTAGGTGATATAACCCAGTACCATCCTTGTAGATTCGTATCGTTCCTGGCTCCCTTCAGTAGTAACGATAACAATGGTGATAACTCCCGTCGCGGAAATGGATGGGGCAGTAGCTGGGGAGGAGGAGGAGGTGGTGGCGGCGGAGGCGGCGGTGGTGGAGGAGGAGGAGGAGGCGGCGGTGGATATGGCGGAGGAGGATTGAGACCCAACCGCAGGATCGGACGCATTCCTCCGCCCTCCCAATCCTGCAGTGCCGGTGGATGCTGCGGTTAATCAAATAGTTTAAGCGTTTTGGCCTAAAGAACTGCTGAACCAAAATTCTACTCTACGCCTAAACATCAATATCACCCCCATGATGCAGCAACTATAGTTTATAGTTTCCTGTTTCGAACACACATATTATAGCTCGATTTTAATCATAAGGTTTTGGACTGCTTGAGCAAGATACAAAATACCATATACTTTCCAATAAACTTCTTAGTTTCTCAACTAACAATTAAAAAGATTTTTTGCATTTTTCTAACTCTATGCATTATGATGGATTTAAAAATAGATTTTTTATAGAATATGGATTTGAAACATTTTATATATCCTACTTTGGTTTTAGTTTTAACTTACTCATATTTGTGGTGAAGGTTGAAGAAGAACAGACTGTCAAAATCAAATAATTTAATCTTTAATATTTATTTAGCACCAAGGTATATTCTTTTTATAAACTACTTTCGAAATACTTGTCAAATTATTTATTATAATTAGTGGGAATACCCCGGATGTACTTTTTGGCATTTGAAAATAAGTGCCAGTGAAAACCATCTGGCAACGCTGTCCGGCATATGTTCAGTCGACTGGTGGGAAGAAGAAGCACAGATGCGGCGGCTGGTGCGAAATTGGAATGGCCGATTGTTATTCAACGGCAAATCCGGTCAAGAAATTGCTGGACATGCCGGTGTCCATCAGGAGGCCAAGTCGAAACCCTCTACCAAGGAGGAGGGAGCGGGCGAGGTGGATAAGAATGGCTACAGTGCCAAGCACTGCATGAGTCTGGTGGAGTAAGTAGCTCAAGTGGAAAATCCAATAGATCCCTATTTAATTGATCCATATATTACCCTAGGAAGTACGACTACGAGAACTACCTGTGCACCCTGCTGCTGCCACGCGAATTGCGACGAGCTGCCTTCGCCCTGCGGGCATTCAATGTGGAAGTCTCCAGATCGGTCAGCGGCCATGTGAGTGGGGCTTCCGAATCCATGGGGATTATTTACATAGCTAGAGAGAACCTGTTACCTGCGATTCAGTAAAAGCTCCTCCTCCACCTCCGGCTTATAAGCCTATTGTCCTAAATACTTTCCCTAAAACGTGGTACCTTTATATGTTCTATCAGAAGTCTTTAAGATACATGCGATCACCTTATTCTTCTGCAGATTCCACATAAGATTTATAACCTTGCCTCCTCCAAACGCCTCGGGTCTACCCCAAAATTCTGTATTCGTTGTATTATCTTGTCTTTTCCAAACGATATGAAAAATACCTCTACATATTTCTAAACTATGTTCTCTAAAAACATGTAAAATACTAGAAGAGGGTTAACCATATTCCACAATAGTTTCCAAAAAATCGTACTGTTTTACCAGGCTGCGTTCTTGAAAAACAAAATCAATCATTCATATGAAAAGAAGATATATCAGCAAATTGCTTATAAGAAAAAAATGAATTTATAATGTAAAATCCATAAATTATATAACCCTATCTGCTTAGATAATAATTAATGAGCCTCAGCTGTAGTCTCATGGTCTAATTTGTATGTTACCTTATCTACTTGCAGCAAATCGAGCCGCAAATCGCCAAGCTGCGACTCAAGTTCTGGCACGACTCCATAGACAAGTGCTTCGAGGCGGAGTCGCAACGCTCCTACGTGGAGGACCAGCCAGTCCTGCGAGAACTGAAGCACACGGTGGGCAGCCGCAAGCTGAACAAGGTGTACTTGCGCCGCCTGGTCACGGCACGCGACCGTCCGCCCACCCATGGATTCGAGACGGTCCGCGAACTGGAGGAGTACGCCGAACAGACCTTCTCCTCGCTGCTTCTCCTTCTCTTGGAGGTGGCCGGTGTGCGGGATCTGCAGGTGGACCACGCTGCCTCCCATCTGGGCAAGGCTCAGGGAATAGCCACCCTGCTACGGGCCATTCCGCTGGCGGGACGTCAGCAGGCGGCCTGCGTGCCGCTCGAAGTGCTCGTGCGGCATGGCGTTAGTCAGGAGCGCATCATCCGCTGCAAAAGCGACGACAAGGGCGTCGAGGAGTGCATCTTCGAGGTGGCCAGTGCCGCCAACGCGCACCTAAAGCTCGCCAGGCAGCTCAAAGATCAGGTGTCGCCCCTCGTGCCCAAGATCTTCCTCACCGCCGTGGCAACGGATGCCTATCTGGAGCGCCTGCGTCGCGCCAACTTCCTGTAAGTAGTCCGTAGTATACCTATTATATTAGCTAGTCAATGTTTAAATACCCTTGAAGTATAGATTGCTTACATGTACATCACATATTAACAAATGTTTTTTTCCAATCCTACAGGCTTACCCACAAAAGCTGCGTAGGACGCGACTCCATGCTGCCCGCACGTCTATTTTGGAAGTCGCTGTTTAATCGGTACTGATACCAGTTACTTTAGTAGTAGTAAAACTAGGTCTAATGCCACATTGTTGACTTCTTAACTAAAACTGTTTTAAAATGACTGCCTTTAAAATCTCTGGGATTGATGGAATACATTTTGCCAAGTTTGTGAAGCTATACTTTACGAGTAATGAAACTTAACTTGCATGAATTATATTTAATTAAAAATATTTCAATCGGGGGTGCCACAGAAATTGCTTAAGCGGTAAGTCATGTAAAATTTATACCGATGCACATCAAAAAAACGGCAACAGCAATCTCTTATCGAATGTAGTAGGTTTACGAATGGGTGCCTCTTTTTGGTGTCGCTTTGTCGACTGACTTCTTTTCTGGAAGAAAGGATTACTTAAAGAAAAACATGATGATGATGATGATTTTTGACCAAAATCGGACCCTATTTTTTTGCCCTAAAATGCCGTTTTTTGGCTCCCAAATGAAAAATAAAAGTCAGAACGAGGAATGTCATACCTCGTCGTGCTCGTTGCTTAATTTCCAATCCATTGGCATTCTAACCTGAAAATTTTTCTTTTTTTTCATTTTTCACACAAAAAATGCGAAAACTGCTCAAAAAATAAATTTTCCTTTAAATGATGGGGATCGTTAGCATTTCTAGCAAGCTGTTCAAAACAGTCGGTCTTTTAGCTGTACGCCTTGGTTTGGCCAAACTACGATTGAAAAACCGGAAAGAAAAGTCGCATTTTTGACTAAAATCTGAGTCTCGTATTTTTGACCAAAATCGGAACCCTATTTTTTCGGTCTAAAAATTGCGTTTTTTGGCTGGCAAATTAAAAATAAAAGTCAGAATGAGGATTGTCATACCTCGTCGTGCTCGTTGTTTAATTTCCAATCCATTGGCATTCTAACCTGAAAATTTTTCATTTTTCCCATTTTTCGCAAAATAAGTATCACCTTACAAAAAATGCGAAAACTGGTCAAAAAATAAATTTTCCTTAAAACGATGGGGATCGTTAGCATTTCTAGCAAGCTGTTCAAAACAGTCGGTCTTTTAGCTGTACGTCTCGATTTGGCCAAACTACGATTGAAAAACCGGAAAGAAAGGTCGCATTTTTGACTAAAATCCAAATCTCGTATTTTTACCAAAATCGGAACCCTATTTTTTCGCCCTAAAAATGCCGTTTTTTGGCTCCCAAATGAAAAATAAAAGTCAGAACGAGGAATGTCATATCTCGTCGTGCTCGTTGCTTAATTTCCAATCCATTGGCATTCTAACCTGAACATTTTTTTTTTTTTAATTTTTCGCAAAAAAAGTGATGTAACCCCTTACAAAAAATGCGAAAACTGGTCAAAAAATAAATTTTCCTTTAAATGATGGGGATCGTTAGCATTTCTAGCAAGCTGTTCAAAACAGTCGGTCTTTTAGCTGTACGCCTTTATTTGACCAAACTACGATTGAAAAACCGGAAAGAAAAGTCGCATTTTCGACTAAAATCTGAATATCGTATTTTTGACCAAAATCTGAACCCTATTTTTTCGTCCTAAAAATGCAGTTTTTTGGCCCCCAAATGAAAAATAAAAGTCAGAACGAGGAATGCCATACCTCGTGGTGCTCGTTGCATAATTTCCAATCCATTGGCATTCTAACCTGAAAATTTTTAATTTTTGCCATTTTTCGCAAAAAAAGTGATGTAACCCCTTACAAAAAATGCGAAAACTGGTGAAAAAATAAATTTTCCTTAAATGATAAGGATCGTTAGCATATTTAGCAAGCTTTTCAAAACAGTTGGTCTTTTAGCTGTACGTCTTGATTTGGCCAAACTACGATTGAAAAACCGTTTTATACTTTGCCATTTTTTGAAATAAGAAATTGTTATTATAATTATGTATCTATTTAAAATGGAAATGAAAAACTGGCTTGAAGAGGGTTTAGAGCTTTTGCAGGAATATCATTATTCCGATCAACCCGGGGGGATACTATCGATGACAGGCGATCAAGGGCCCGTTCCGAAGATGGTATCGAAGTGGAGCGAGCGATACCCGCGTAGTACTGTAGTTGCAAGCTGATTTCAGAGCGTTTTAGGCGCAGTTTTAGTTTTTTTTTATGAATGTTAGAATTGATGTGGAAAGTGTGTTTGGGTTCGATATTATAGAAAACGGAGCAGTGCAATAATCGCTCAACAAGATAGGCACCGTTTTTTTTTTGTCCCGCTTCCGATTCCGGTTCCGGGAGAATTGCAACGCCTTTTGGGCATTGGTGAGTTTCTCCGGGCTTTCTTCTCGCTTACGATTCCCTTTTCACAGCCATTTATCACACATTCTCTTTATCCAGTTTTTCCCTTTTATTTTGCCCACTGAGTTGCAATTTCGGTGCTCCTCGCATTTAACGTAACGGTTCTTTTTCGCCGCCTCCTTCACACACAGCGAAACAAGAGGAAAAGGAAATTCGAGAGGAGAAGAAGAGAGGAGACCGCAATATACGAAAGATAGGCTTGTGTGTGTGGAACTACGGTACTTTTACACTGGTGGCCGTAAAAAGTGAAAGTCAGCCTTATTAATAAAAAAATCCTGAAATGAAATAAAGTGTCAAAGTAAATAAAACATTAAAAAAAAGTAAGAAAACAAAATAAAAAAATAAAAAACATAAACAAAACTTATAAAAATACACAAAAGACATACAAAATATTTAACAAAATAAAAACAAACAAAAAAAAAACAATAAAAAATCAGAAAAGTTTTCGAATTCAAAAAAGAAACTAAAAAAATTAAACATAATATAAACTTAACTTAAATTTAGACCTAAGCAACTAAGCGAACCCGTGCCGAGCAATTTTTTATACCCAAAACTCGAGCCACGATCGTCAAAACAATACTATTCTATGTTCACCACCCGAATATCCGGCGAAATGAAGATCTTTGCCGCAGATGTTGCCGAGAGCAGCGCAACAGCAACATGCAACACGCCCGTGCAGCAGCAACAGCAGCAGCAGCAGCAACTCGAGTTCCGGTCACGAATGTCCAATGGATCGCCGGGCTCCAAGACGGGACAATGCCATCTGAAGTTCGGCAAGTACAACAACAAGACGGCCAATCTGCTGCGCCAGGTGAGCAGCTGCCACAGCGGCAGCAACAACAGCAGCAACATCAGCAACACCAGCAGCAGCAACGAGGCCAACAAGGGCCAACAGCAGCAGCAACTGCACTATTGCAACAACAGTCACTCGTGGGCACGCAAAAAATACTTTGGCAACAGCAACAACAATGTGCAGCAGCAACAGCAACAGCAGCAATCTGCGTACTACCAGCGACAGCAGCAACAGCAACAACAGCAGCAGCAGCAACACCAGATTCAGCAGCAGCAGGATCAGCAATCTTTAAACAACAACAATGTGCTGATGAAGAATCAAAATATCTTGCAACAGCAAGTCTCAGATTGCAAGACCAGCGACAGCAACAACAACAGCAGCAGCAGCAACCGGATGGCGGCAAAGCCAGCCAAATTTCCTAACGACAACAGCAGCAGCAGCAACATAGGTAACAATATCATCGGTTGCAGAAATAGCAACAGCAACAGCAACACCATTAGTACTAAGAAGCGCAACTCATCAGCGGCAGATGCAACTGCTGCCTACTATCGCAAGGAATCTGGAAACCCGGAAGTTGCAGCAGGGACAACGGAAACGGATGCAGCAGCAACAGATGCCTGCAACATTAGCCCCCCAACAACAGGATCGAGCGCAGGGAGTACCAATACGGAAACATCCTTGGCTAAGACTCAGGATCCAGAACAGGATCAGACGGCGAAGCAGCGACCGCGACAGCAGCCCCTCAGTTTCTGGAAAACCAATTACCCGCAGGCAACAGCCAGCCAGCTGAAAGATGTGAGTCGGGTTCTGTAAGGAAGGGCTGTATACGATGCATCCGTCTTGTAGACGATGTAGCCTTTATAACCATATTCAAATGGTTTCATAAAGTTTTATTTGCTTTTTGCTTATATAAATTTATAATTATATATATGTATATTATACATTCAAGATACATGACACAAGTTGTTTTACATTTCAGAAGGAGACAGTTGCAGCAGTGGTATCGGCAGCCGCAGCCGCTGCATCCGAGCAGCAGCAGCAACAGCAGACGCTGTCCTTCGAGCACAGACGCAATTCGGGCTACCAGCAACATCAGCAGAACAATTACTATCAGTACTACTATTCGCAGCCCAAGCAGTTGACCATCGCCTCGTTTCTGCAGAAGGAACTGCTGCCCGAGAGCCTCGACAAGCCCACCCAGCAGAGCAGCAGCAACACAGGCAGCAGCAGCAACAGCAACACAGGCAACAGTAGCAGCAACAGCAGCAATCTCCTCAGCAGCAGCGGCAACAGCAACGGCAACAGCAACAGCAACAACAACTACTCACGGCAGCAATATGGCCACCAGTCGGTTGGGAATGGCTACCATCAGCAGCAGCAGCGCTACCGCAATGCCCAGAATGCCTACCAGCAATACCAGCATCAGCACCAGCACCAGCAGCAGCAACATCACGCCCAGCAGCAACATTCGCACCAGCAGGGGATGGGCAACTCGCACTTCCGCCGGAAGAACAGCGACAACAGCAACCACAGCAGTGGGATCAATCAGAAGAAGATGCACTATAGTCCTCCGGGAAAGAATGGAGAGCTAACGGACAGATCCTCTTCGGGACAGCAGCAGCAGCAACAGCAGCAACACCACCATCCGCATCAACAGCAGAAGACCATCGAGATCCTGGCCAGCAGCAACTTCAACGCCATGCACCGCCGGATGCAGGGGGGAAACAACAAGAACGGCTACTACCAGCACAACTATCATCCGCTGGCCGGCGAGCCCGGATCCACGCCTACGCGTTCCGAGCACCAGAACATCTACAATCTCACCTACATCCATGTGGACATGGAAGCCACGGCAACCGGCGAAGCTGGAGGATCAGCAAATACAGTGGTAGCGGGTGCAACAGCGGTGGTCAAGCCCCCGCTGCTGAGCAAGCCGAGCATTTCCATAACCCCAGCCGCGGCTACAACGCCAACTGCCACCGTGGAACGAGCCATACCTCCTGCTCCGCTTCGCTCCGTAGCCGCTCCTGCTCTGCCGCCGCCAACGAGCCATGTCCGCAACATGTTTGCCCCGCCACCGCTGGCACTGATTGGTGCCCACGGCCTGCTCTCCCCGGTGACCACCACCTCCACGCCCACCAAAATGATCAGCTGCGCCCAGCTGGACGAGGCCATTACGGCGGCCGCCGCCAGCGGTGACCAGTCGGTGACCACGAGTCCCAGTTTCAACCAGGCAGGGTCCTTCGTTGTTCCACCCCAGCACCAGCAGCCGTCGCACCTAATCCCGCCCTGCTCCACCTCACAGCCTCCGCCACCGCCGCCCCCACAGATGTTCTTCCACTTTGCCGAAGGGTTCTGCAATCCGGGAATGGGTCACCAGGCGCGTCCAGCTCCCGTGTGGCCTCATTCCACTTCGCCCTGCTACCCAGCTTCCTATGGATCCAGCTGCAGCCTAAGCGGAAATGGAACGGGCTCAGGAACCTCGCCACACAACAAGGATGGGAATGTGGTTGGAGTGCGGCCCGTGTCGCCCGCTCTATCCTCTTCCTCACTGGGCAGTGAATCCCATTGGAGCAGTACCAGCAATCGCAGTCGGTATGTGTGAAATGGGGTTCCCAAGATGAAATCAATATAGTATTTATTTTCAGCTTGGGACATGGAGGACACCTCTCTATATCGCCCACACCCAGCGCTCTGGGATCTGCCCAGCTCTCTCCACATCTGGCCGAGATGGGTGTGCCACATCCGCTGCACCAGCAACATCCTCCTCCGCTCTCCAACCACCATCTTCATGGGCAAATGAATGGACATGCAATGAACTCCTATGTAAGCCATCGACCACCACCGCCGCCACATCCACCCATCTCATCGCCGACCCCCACGATAGGAGCCACAGGAGGAGGTGGAGGAGGAGGAACAGGAGCAGGAGGACCCTGGTACGAGCTGCTCCTGCCCCCCGATCGCTACCTGGCCCAGGCGCGAAACGTTGAGGTCGCCGTCCAGCCGGAAAAGCTCATCTGCATGTGCAAGTACGACAAGCTGTCTGCTGAGATCTGGAAGAGATTCCGGGGGGCCCAGCAGACGCACAAGAAGTTTAAGATGAAGATGCGTCTCTGGCGATACCTCTTCCTCTGGATGAATGTAAGGAAAACCCTACATAACATACAACTATAAAATATATCACATTTCAATAATAGCAGCCCATGTTCGAGAGGTATCGCATCTGCCTGGTGGGATCGACGATCACGGGCTTTGGAACAGACTCCTCCGACATTGACATGTGCCTGCTGCCCGAGCAGGGGGCCCATCTTCACCAGCAGCACTATCACCAACACCATCACTTTCACAACGAGAAGCGAACCGAGGCCCTGATCATCCTCACTTTGTTCAATGCAGTGCTAAAGGACACGGGTAATAAATACCATATTATTCCATCCTTCGGAACAGAATGACTGTCTTTTGTAGAGGTCTTCCAGGACTTCAATTTGATCGAGGCGAGGGTGCCGATACTGCGCTTCAAGGACATTTCCAATGGAATCGAGGTCGACCTGAACTTTAACAACTGCGTGGGTATTAAAAACACCTATCTGCTGCAGTTTTACGCCCAACGTAAGATTCTATTGTATTAACTTGAATGATATATTATATTTGTGTACCTATCTTCCTAAAAAATCTTCTTGTTTTTGTCACTGAATTCTATTAAAACAGCTTAACCACTTATGATTGACTGAGTTGCCTGTCCTATATGTCTTAAAAACCTGTCCATGTATTTCAAATATACCTTGGGTGTTAGTTAGTTTATCCTTTTATAAGGAAATTGGTGAATAACCTAACACTAAAGTCATATATTGCAAGTAAGTATTAATTTGAATGATAAAGTTATAAAAAAATTATGATTATATACTGAGTTCTATTAATTTAACTAATATGGTTCGTTGATAAAATGTTTTTGTTATGTTATGGATAGATATCCAGATTGTATTTAAAGTATTGACCCTTCTTAATTTTGGTCAAGTCTTAACGATAGTTAAACTAATACTAAATTATTTATTCAAAAATAAAATATTTTAGTGGATTGGCGAACACGACCGTTGGTGGTGATTGTGAAGCTCTGGGCCCAGTACCATGACATCAACGACGCCAAACGCATGACCATATCCAGCTACTCGCTGGTTCTAATGGTGCTCCACTACCTCCAGCATGCCTGCGTGCCCCATGTGCTGCCCTGCCTGCACACCCTGTATCCAGAGAAGTTCCAGCTGGGACAACAGGATTGCCTGGACCTGGACCTCATCGAACCGATTGAACCCTACCAGGGTTTGAACAATCAGACGCTCGGCGAGCACCTTCTGGGCTTTTTCAAGTACTACAGCAGCTTTGAGTGAGTACTGTTCCGATCTTGAACCCCAAAGATAAAGAAAGATATAGGAATTTATTATGACATGCTAATCCTAACCATTTAAAAACAAACACGAATTTCGAAATATGTAGTTTATTATAGTATTAAAAACAACATCTTTTATTTTTATGGTCGCCTTAGCTTCCGGAACTTTGCCATCTCCATACGAACTGGCGGCGTCCTTCCGGTGTCCACTTGTCGCATGGCCAAGAGTCCCAAGAACGACGTCTACCAGTGGAAGGAGCTCAACATCGAGGAGCCCTTCGATCTGTCCAACACGGCGCGCTCCGTCTACGACTATGCCACGTTTGAGCGCGTAAAAAGTGTGTTCCTGGCCTCGGCCCGTCGCCTGGATCACACCCTCGACCTGGCCACCATCTTCCGGCCCATCCACCACGTCCCAGAGAACTTTGCCCCCCAGCAGCCGTCGTCGTTTGAGCAGCAGCTGCACTATCCCAATCCCGGCCAGCAGCGGAGTGGAGGAGGTGGTGCCGCTGCCATGTCCAGCAGACTGATCCCAGATGCACCCACCACCTTTGCCGAAACGGCAGCAGCGAATGTCGCCTAATTGGGGACAGATACTTGCGAGAATATGAAGAAAATACAAAAAAAAAAAGATAAATAAAATGTCCAACAATGTTAAATCAGAACAAGAAACCTTGTAAATTGAAATTCATAAAATGCATAATTCCAAAAGATAATTGTGAAAAACCGAACGGAATTGAATTTCAATAAACTTGAAAATGCATCCCCATCTTGTTAAATGTTATTATATTCATTTATTTATGCTTTTACAAACCCAAAGTGTTTTAAACGAACTCCATTAATGATTGTAAACATCCACGGAGGCGTGCGATGTTCGTCCCTCCAGTGGCTTGTATGTATCTTTTTGAAAAACAAAATGTCACCCGAAAATGTAAAATTCCAAGTTCTGTTAAATATACAACACAAAACATGCAAAATTCTGTTATAATGCGCCCATAGAAATAATACAACAAGTGCTTATCTGTTTTTCGCAAGGGAAAACTTAAATTCTTTATTTAGAATTTCCAAAAAAAAATGTTTCATTTTCTTGAATCAAAGAGTCGCGTGGGGAAGAATTAACTCACATTATATAGAAAAAATATACCATTTTCATATCGTTTTAAAAACAATTAACAGGCATCTGTAACTGCATTAATATTAATTAATATTAACCTTTTCTGATCTTGACCCTCCATTCCGTCGATTGTAAGGTATGTTAATTATTGTGTATATGGGTGTGTTTGTGTTTTGAACGATCGGAACGCGTTTCCGTATCGATCATTCGATTTCCAATCCGCGCTGGAAAGTTGCATCCGCTTTGGGGGATCCGCCAGCGTTCCCGTGCGATTTAAAATGGTGTATCCATACTTTTTGAATTTGATCATGTATCGTCTTGATTTTTTTGTTTTGTTTGTTGGTTTTCTTTTGTGTTTGGTAGGATAACAAATGCATACAGAAATCAAAAAAGAGTCCAAAAATTTTCGAATTTTACAACAGTGGGCATATGGTGGGGGATCGGTGTGAGTTAACCGGTTTTTTCTTTTGTTTTTTGTTTGTTTTGTTTTGTTTGTTTTAAGGAAGAAGGTTAGAACAGGAGCTAAAGATTGGCTGCTGCACTGGAGGCCACAAGAAGGTTAAAAGGTAAGCCACTTGGTGAATACGTGTCCTGGGCGGGAGTGGTTGCGTGATTGCGTTTTAGGCTCCGGCTGCGAGTCCCGGTTGGCAAAACAAAAAGGAAACGTGTCGAGAAGTTGTCCATCGTCGTTTCAAGGGCAGCACAAGGTGTGGCGCCTTGCTGGCAGATTGGCAGCTTGGCAGCTTGGCTCATCCGTGGGCGAGCTCCTCTCGGAGAGCACTCCTCTGACCAACGGGCAGTGGCCAGTGGCCAGTCGCCTGGCCATGACCTCATGGCCCGCGGCGCTTCGGGAACATCTGCGTGCTGCAGTGGCTGCTGCAGTGCATCGTGGCTGCCTACAGTGATTTGCTCTCGATATCTCGATTTTTTTCGATTCCTCGACATCTCTTCTCCGCCTCCTCTCCTTTCATTACTCTCACTCCTCATCTCGCCATCGCCATCTCCATATCATTTCAATCTCCGTCTGCGGCGAGACGAGACGAGAGGAGACAGTGTGAGAGATCACACTTTCTCATCTCGTCTCGTCTCACCGTCTTTAATGTCCCGCTCGTGCTCATGTTCCTAGGTCGCATTGTCGCATTGTTTCCCGCATTTGTCGTTGTTCCCATGATAGTCCTCTTTGCTCTCTTCCTGCTGCCTACTGATGCTACTCCTTGATGATGACTTCAAAGTTGAGTTTGTTGTTGTTTCGTTTGGGTTGCTTGTTATCGTTTGTAGTTGGTGCACCTCCTGCCGGATTCTCAATAAGGCTGTGAGAACTGATTCAAACTGCGTTCGCCCGACTGCAAAACAAAGGGAAATTGATTAGCACGGGGGTCCTAATAGAATAAGCGATCTATCTTGGCAGTTTTTCCACTTGTTAATGTGATAAATATAGCACACTCACCACGTTAAAGGCCACATCCTGGGAGAGCAAACCATCCATCTGCGATATCTGCCCAAAGTCCTGCGATAGCTCCGGCTGCTGGGAAAGAGCAAATCCGCTGGGCTGCGTCATCTGCAGCGACAGCGGCACCGGCTGCTGGCTGAATGGAGTGGCAGCACTGCCCGTGCTCGCCTGTCCACCAGGTCCTCCTGCCGCTGATCCGCCACCAGACTGGCCAGCCGCTGGACGCGATTTTCCCAGCTTCTGGGTCTTCTTGATGTTGCCCAAGGTGGCCACTCCAGGTCCACTGAACGTGATTCCCGAGTTCGACGGCGAGTAGTTACCCGACTGCTGCTGCATCGCACGATTCTGCTTGGCCGCCATGATCGCCTGCTGGTGCTGGTTGTAGAACCGTGGCGGCAGATTGCTCATGTTCATGAACATGCCAACTGGGACCGGCATGTTGCCCAGTGCCGCTGCGCCGTGCTCGTTGGATATGTAGCCAATGGAGTCGTGATGCAGGTGGGCAGCTGCCCAGCTGGGTCCAGCACCGCCAGCGCCTCCGAAGTTGTTGTTGCCACCGGCAGCGCCACTGCCCGCGCCCAGGCCGAATCCGCCCATGGAGTTGGAGCTGGGTGCACCGTAGCCGAGGGGAGAGCCGCCATACTGACCGCCGTTACCACCGCCGTACTGGCCACCGTTCATGGCCTGACCCGGCATCTGACGGCCCTGGCCGTAGCCACCACTTCGATCGTAGATGGAGCCCGGTACCATCACCTCCTTGGCATCGGCTATCATGGTGGACATAAAGTGAGCTCCAATATTCATGCTGTTGACGAGCTTCTTGGGCTTCTGGAAGTGGATGAGCGACTCCTTGAGGTTATTCAGCGAGCCCTCCACGAGCACCTTGCGGTCCTTGTAGAAGTTGAGCAGATGGTTCCACAGTTGCTGCTTGGCCAGCACTTTGGGATTGCCCACAATGATGATGCCGTACTTGGCCCGGGTGAGGGCAACGTTAAGGCGTCGTGGATCGTTCAGGAAGCCGATGCCCTGGCGCTCGTTGGAGCGCACGCATGACATGATGATGATGTCCTTCTCGCGTCCCTGGAACGCGTCCACACTGGCGATCTCGATCTCCTGATAAAGGCGGGAGTGCAGGCTGCCCTGGTATTGCATGTACTGCACCAGGTAAGCGCGCTGTCCCTCGTAAGGCGTGATGATTCCAATTTGTTCCGGTTTAATGCCAGCCTTGAGGAATCGCGTCGTGATCTTTTCCACGTTGGCCGCTTCTGTGCGGTTGAGGAACGAGGTGCCCGAGCCGGCGATCTCCTCCTGACCCTGCGTCACCAAAAAGAACATTGGCCTCTCCGGCTGCGGCCAGGGGAAGTCCAGCTTAAGGCGACGATCTTCCGCACAGACGCCGTTCTGCAGCGAGCCCTCGTAGAAGAAGTTGGACGGGAACTGGGACAGTTCGGGGTGCATGCGATACTGCACCTCCAGGCGGAACGGACGGATGCCCAGGACCACGAGGCGCTCGAAGAGACTCTGCGAGAGGCCGGCACGAGCGGCCTTCTTGCACATGACCACCGGTCCCAGCTGGCAGTGGTCGCCCACGAGGATCAGCTGCTTGGCGCCCAGCACCACCGGCACCATGCATTCCGGCTCCGTAGACTGCATCGACTCGTCGATCAGGATCGAGGTAAACTTGATGCGCGACAACCTGCCGTCGCCGGCGCCCACGCACGTGCAGCAAATGACGTCGGCCGCCTCCAGCAGTTGGCTTTCGGCGCCGCGCTTCAGACTGCGATAGCGCTTCTCGTCCGCAGAGCTCAGCTCGCCAGTCTCGTCCTTAAGCTGCTGCAGCTTCTTCAGCTCCGAGTTGGTCTCCATGTTGCGGATTTGATTGTGCAGCGCCAGGAAGCTGACCGGACTATCGATGGCCTCGCGACTCTTGGCGCACACACGCACCACCTTCAGGTTTGTGCGGTGGATCTTCTCCGTTAACTGGTCCACAGCCGTGTTGCTGGGCGCACAGACCAACACAGTGCCGCCATGCTGCTTCACCAGCTGGTAAACGATGGTGGCCGAGGTCACGGTTTTGCCTGTGCCGGGCGGTCCCTGGATCAGCGAGAGTGGGCGCTGGAGCGCGTGCTTCACGGCGTACACCTGACTGCGATTCAAGTCGGGCAGGTGTGGGGCGCTATAGAGCTTGGGCTGTGGGCCGCGAAAGAGCACTTCGTCGTTGGCATCCGGACGGCCGTGACCCAACAGGCGCGAGTAGATGTAGTTGGAGACCGAGTTGCGATCCATGGCGAAGTTGCGCAGGGCGCGCGTCATGCGATCGAAGGAGGTGCACTTCCAGATGAAGTCCACCGAGAAGTTGCTGGTGCACTTGACCGGCGCATTCGACCACGTCTTCAGCTCGAGGCCGACATCGTCACCGAAATTGTCCGGCACCTTGATCACATGCCCGATCTCGCTCCACGGATTGTACAGCTCGCCCACGTAGCGCAGGCGCAGCTCGTCGCCGTGCATCAGCTTCATGTCTGAGTCGGTCTTGGCCAGCGTGAAGTAGGCGATGGTCTTCTTGTTCAGGCCCACGTCCCAGCGCACCTCGATGTTCTCCTGAGTGGCCGACTCCTTCAGCTTCTTGTCATAGTCGGCCTCGAGGCGAACCAGCGGACCAAAGGTCTTCTCGTACTGATACCCGTCCTCGTAGCGCAGCAGCACCTGTGCCGGTTCCGAGTCGATGCCCGGCTTCTCCAGATCCTGGAACGTGGCCTCGATATTGTCCTTCCACAGCTCCTCCAGCTTGTTGATCTGCGCGGCCGAAATTTGGCGCGCTCGCAGCTGGCCCTGCTCGCTGGGCTGCTTTACCAGCCAGGGCAGGAAGCAGCGGTCAGCGATCAGTGGCTTCCACTGCTCCTGGTCCCAGTTCATGTCCTTCAGCGAGTTCTGGGCGGCACACGGTTGCCGGCACAGCAGCACGACCACCGAATCGGCCTTGGCTGGTATGAAGCCCAGCACAAAGACGTTGCGCACGCCGCAGGAGTAGCACTCCAGTATGGTCTCGCCCAAGGGTCCCTCGCCATGGAGCGTCACCTCGCGATGCTTGGCCCTCACCAGATGGTTGATGATGTGCGAACCGGAGGTGCTGCCGCGTCCGTTGCAGAACCATTTGCGGCAGTTGTTGCACATGACCACCGTGGCCGGGTCATGGATGCCGCAGTACTTGCAGGCGTGCGCCGGCAGCTCCTTCACGTACGAGCTGCCCGCCTCGTCGTCCTCCTCCTCGAACTGCAGATCGGCCAGATCGTTGGTGATGCTGGCCAGCCGCGGATGCGAGTCCCCGCCAGAGCGACGTGGCTATAATGGATGGTATATAAGATATGTAGTCAAAGAACTGGCAATGGTTGGAGACCATAACACTTA